CTCGTAAAATAAATGATTATGACAAATATTAAATTATTTATTTCTTATAATCTTTGGTAACTTTTTAATTAAAAAATCTTTAAATATTTATTATGGAATCCCGTCCGTCATTTGCACGCAAGTTAGTGATTACAACTGGTATCTAGTATAACGTATACCGTACCCCGAACCCCGTATCCCGGATCTCGAATCCCGTAAGTATCCCGAATCCCGGTCGATTTGTTGCGTGTCAATTGTTTTTGTATCGGACGCTGGTCGAATGATAAGATGTGGTTAATCGAGGAGATCCCTCTAAACATCCTTTACTCTCCTAATTATTTGGTAATGGGAAGGTTAACATTTCTACCAAAAAATTATGTTGCTTAGATATGTTATTTGATTTATTGATACGAATATAGTCGAGACCCAACCAAGGCGTGATAAGTCTGTATGTTTGATATAAGAGCTTCCTTAAATCCCGCAGAACCGTGATCATAGCGGTTATTTTAAGATTTACATCAGAGGACAAGTCTCTGAACAACCTCCAAGAAATATAATATATCAGAATAAAATGTGCGGAACATTTATACACGGGCAATATTTTATGAAGTTTTCTATGTCTCATACGACGACAACTTCAAGACTTCTGTGAAACTCTCGAACTATCTGAAACATAGCGCACTTAATATTAACAAGTACACGAGTTGAACGCACATATGTTATGTTGGTAATACTACATGACAAAATTATATATACCTTTCTCATTTCACATAGCTTTTAAATTTATAAACAAAATAGGGAGTATGAGGAGAAATATTCAAATTTATTTCAACGAATAAAATTAGGGATAGATTGAAAAATAAGCTAAGCTATAAGCTCTTTGGAAATATAAACTCTTCCAAAACTGCTAGAGGAAAATCGCTCGATGTTATATTCTCTGTTACCAAATTTAATTACAGCCGTATTATATAAAAACAGTTAAAATGAATTTATTTCTCGATGAGGAATTTCACATGTTCAGTAGTGGTTCGTGTATTTTTTATCATATTGATCATCTTTTTACTTAAATTTATAATAACCAATATATGAAAATATATAATATATATAAAGGTTGACTTCTCAATAATCTATCATAAAGTTTTTTTCTATGAAAACGAATGTAACTATTGGACATAATACATTTATGAACACGTATTTGTAATAATGTAATAAAAATGATAGTATAAATAGCGTTAGAATTTCACACTGGAATGTGGACTCATCAAACTTATGCCCACTGGTTCAGGGAAATATAGAATCAAAGAAATTTACCCTGACTTACATCGAATCAACAAATCATATTATAGTGGATAAATTTTACACGAGAAATAAAAATGTTTTATCAAAATATATTTTTACTCCTCTCCAATAAACGGCAGAAAATAAATCATATCAAATTATTTTTAAACCAAAAACCACTCTTCGTGTTTGGCCATAACGGTCGACCTGCAACTTCGTAATATTCCTTTCAACCGCGAGTTCAAGTTATGATTGCTTCGATATTAGCGGACAAACCCGGAGGCTGTGTATAGTTTACCATGATCTGGTCTCATCTAATTCGGGTCAGTGACTACTTGAATAGCGGCTCGTTAGTTTGACTGCTCCAGTTTAGCTCAAAACTACGCGCTCAACATTTTAAAGAATATTCCAACGCTGCTTTTTATACATGGCTTTTTAAACGTCAATTTAATTTCCTTTTTTTTATATGACGCGTATCCTCCACTGTAAAATGACGCGCTCTCTATGAAACTGTAGTATATTTAAATAAAATACTCATGAAATATATTTAATAAATCACGTACATATAGAAGGTTATTTTACCATTACTATCTTTTATATATCAATTATAAGTTCATCATTAACTTGATTTTTAATTAATTCTTAAAAAAAATTAATTTCTAAAATCATATTAACAATAACTTAATAGTATATACTTTCTGCGGTATCCAAGTACCATATAATGTAAACCAACACTCTGTTGTGTACAGTTCAAGTTGAAACACCATCTGTTAGTGACTGTGCTTAAACGCTGTACTAAACTACGCTTGTACTATATCCCTAACATAATTGTAACAGTTAATAACTGACTTTCATTACAACATACACACACACACACATATATATATATATATACTAGTTTTTGCCCGCGTCTTCGGCAGCGTTGATTTTGGAATTAGTAATATATGTTTAGCTAATCGGGCGTAAATAACCATGTATTAAAGCTGTTTTGATCGAACAGAATTAAATATCATATGTCCGTCTCTTGGTACTAAGCTATTCCCCACCAAATTTCAACAATATCCCTACAGCCGTTCTTGAGTTATAAATAGTGTAACTAAAACGACTTTCTTTTATATATATTAATGTGTAGCTAATATAACTATTAGTTCATATTATCGACAGCCCGGGGATTCTTCACAAAGGCAAAGATATCGGACGAATCTGAAGGGCACAAGTTTTTCATCCAGTCCCCTGACATCGCTCTATACAGGTCGTGATAGTAATATAAAATATATATAATAAAAAAACTAATCATTTTAAAAACCGGAGCTTTTTGTATTTTGTTACTTTTTTCGTATATTCAAAAAAAGGACCCCCATTTCGCTTGTGTCACATCAAACGAAACCATTGAGTGTATATAAAATAAAGTCGTATACAAGATCAATGTTTTATTTACTAAATAAATTATATTCTAGAAAATAAAAAGATTATAGTATACTAATTTATTAAAAATAAACAAGTAATTTAACTTTATAAAATATAAGATTATAGTTATAATATTCATTCGAAACAATATATACAGTATACAGTACATATGTATGTACATGAAAAACATTAGATACTAAACTAAAAAATTAAACAAAATAATGAAGCATGTTGCATATTTTGGTAATAATATTAGGATAACACTAAATATAACATAAATTTATTAATAATAACTCAATAAATGTACAGTAATAATTTCGTTCATTCCTGTATAAACCATTCGTCGGAGCTATCAGAAAGGCGTGAAATAGCGGGTGATCCTAAGAGATTATCTCGCCTCCAAGATCAGTCAAAGCAGTTTTTCTAGAATCTTCTAATAACATGATGGCTTAACTATTCAATGGATTTCATTTTGAAATTAAAATATCGGCAGTATTTTTAATAAGAGTGCACCACAGTTTTATCGCTGAAAGCCATCGGGTAAAGGCGAAGTTTTCCAATGTAAAATACATTAAATAGGAACGTCATTGGTTTAAACAGAAAACTGATACGGTTTTGCAATTTAAAAAAGTAATTTTTGAGCCAAAGGATACGGAATTATATCACTGTTTCACTCTCACATTAACTTTATGGTGCCATCCCTTTCCATCTGCTATTTTTATGACACATAAACCAATTTAATGTTTATAGATATTAGATATATCGTAAATTGTTTATTATGTATGGAATTTTTTAAGCCGGTCCCTATTTACGATTTCAATTACTTGTGAAGATTTAATAGATCTGAATTAATTTGTTCTCATTATTAAAATATTCCTTTTATTAAGTAAAACTACTAATATTAAAACATTTTATATTTTTAAAGATAGTTTAATATTAATAGTCTTATGTATTGATAAAACAATTTTCTTCAAAGAAATATATAGATCGGATTTTTAGTTTTTAGTATCTGTAATCTGATTGACATCTCATGCAATAGACGTTTAAACAAAACGTCACTTCCATCAAATATGTCAAAAAATAAGTAACAATACATAACAATACATTAAATATTCTTCAATCTTATTGTAATAGAACCAGTCGGTCACGTTTCTCGAAATGAAAACGAAATAGTCAGTTTGTTTTAAATAATCATTTATCTGCATCAAATACATACAAATCGCCCACTGATTAAATTTACAGGTAAGTAATAAAAGTATCATTACAAACAACAATATATGAGTCTAGTAAAAAACACATCTCTTGGTTCCTTCCTATATCATCAGTTCTGAATTAAAAAGGGGAGAGTTATTTTAAATTTCTCGTCACATTCGTCACGTGCGTTCGCAAGTAGAATTATCTAACGTAAAACATCGAAGCCAATTTGTCCCCTCCCTCAAATTTAGCGCGCTTGTTAAAAACGACCCGAATATATAATGGTCGGATTACAAAACGAATACATTCGAACGAAACTCGAAACTTTATTGAGTATCATTTAGTTTACGAAAACCGTTTTGCTGAACTTCAATTTGACGATATACGAATCGCGTTTACGTTTTATTTACGTTAATAAAATATTTAAAGTTAAAATATATGAAACACATAGAAAAGCGTTTAGTTGATAGTTTAATTTAGTTTTTAATCACTTAATTCTGAAAGAAATAGCACAAAATTTAAACGAAAATGTGATTTTCGAGTAGACTATGGGACTTATATTATATTACTTCACATTTTATCCGACGTTACAGTACAGCAACCGTGATTACAAATAGACTAGATGAAAGTATCTATCGATTTATTTAATATTTTTCATCTACTTACAATTTTTCACGAGTCCTTGCTCTATACGTACGCAGAATGCGTTACCTCTGTCTTGAGGTCTAACATTGTGGTTAAAGACATTGGATATTTTTAACAAGGGGATCTCAGGTGCTATATAATCGCTATCTGCTATATTGAATTTATGTAGTTTTTACATAAAATAGGCGTAGTATAATCCGAAAAATATTAATTACATTTAATGAATACTCGCGAAAGCCTTAGATCTCATTATCATAAAATCCAGAGCGGTACGCCAGAACATTAAGAAATCGGTAGATGATAAATAAAACCAACTGTCAGACTCTCACATCTCGTCTGCCCGTGATCACGGATGCTGAAAAGTAGCCGAAACGTCGGGAGTATGTAGTTCTTTACAAAAATAAAGCACGCATAATATATGTGAATAATATTAGTTTCATTTAAATAAAATCTTTGTAAGGATATCTATGGAATGGAGGTTCTACGGTCCCGTGATCATGGCGGTGGTACTATTTCTACTGGTCGGTACCATCTTCGAACGAAGAATAGAAGCTGCTATACGACGTATCAGTAAGTTAGTTTATGGTTTATATTGAAATCGCCCTTAATTTACTTAATTCTGACAATATATATAATAATTGTTGGTTAATGTTTTACAAGCATTTGTACGTAACTCGTATTTTAACTAGACTTATGATACTTATTAACTAAAATAACAATACATTTCTTTGTTTAAATCTTTATTCTTTTATGAAGGTTTTGGTTGATTTAAAGAAAAACCTATTAATTTGTATTCTATTAAACCTTAACAGTAGAATTATAAGTGTCTAAAATTAAGCTTTTTTATCGTAAAAAAGTTATTACATACTAAAACTTAATATATTTAGAATCAATATATGTATATTACAGTAGAACATCAACAACTCATGCTAGAAGCTAGTCGAGAGGAAGCCAATCAAGCTTTGGCCGAAACTACTGAGAGCACGCAACCCTCCACCAGCGCCTCCCAAAAAACTTTGGAACCAAAAAAAATAAATTCAACAAAAAGCTTAATATCCTCAACAACGTTCCAATCTCTACCAAACTCTTTATCCAAGCCTCTGGAAAGCAAGAGCAGCACTTATATTACTGGTAGCTCGCTTGAACGTAAGAGCAACGCCTTAATCAAACCGGTACCAGAAATAACTATATGATATATCAATTATATTTGATCTGTCGATGAAAATATGAATATTTGAATGAGTTTCAATCTATCGAACCCACAACAAACTTTAGCATAAATACATATTAAAAGCGACTAATAATAGCTTGTTTTATTTATTTTTTTATTATATATACATACTAGTAGACCCGGCGAACTTCGTATCGCCCTATAATCAAGAAATATCTGTTACGTTTTCTTATTTATATTTTTGGAGTTTACCTATTAAAACCATAAATCTCCGTGGTTTGAAATGCGACAGAATGATTGACATAATAGTTAGTTGTCAAATCTAATGTCAAAAAAAACGTTTGTATCAACAACTATTAATAAATTAAAAATAAATTAAAAAAACACTGTCCAGCGGACAAAATGGTGAATCTCAGCCATTCCCAGATCCCCTTGAACACACACAAAAAAATTCATCAAAATCGGTCCTGTCGTTTGAGAGCAGTGACATACACACTCACAGAAGAATTATATATATAAAGATGTATGTATGTATATTGAAAATGTCTGAAATTTCAGTATCAAACTAGTTAATAAGATATTTACGAAAACATAAATATTACATCAAAATAACACGACCCCTTTAATATTCACACACATCAGACTCCTCACATCTAAACCCGTTATGATTTCGAAGCCTTCCAAATAAATCCATCCGATTCCGTCAGAATCACTAAGGAGGTTTGACGTGTCGTGTAGGGTAAGACGGGACAGGGACGAATTACCCGGATACCCGGTTACCCGGCCGGGGTAATTTCCCCTGTGGCCGCGTCTTTGCATGCCCAGTTTGAACCGGCTTACGTTACCGCCTTTGTTACCGACCGTCCCATTGATTAGTGTTGCTATGTAAGTTGCTATTAATTAAGTTATAAGTGGCTCTGCATATTGAATTCCGATATGTTGGATATTGTAATTATATTGGTCTCATCAACGGTTCACTTTGATTGCTGCATACTTGAAGGTTTAAACGAGATGTTCACTACACACGGAGCGTCACGTTCGTGATATTTTTCAGGATTTTTAATTACAGACCGAAACAGACTTTAGTCTGAGAGGCGTACACTGAGATGGTGAGTGGCACTTCATAACGCCGAGCCACTCGTCGCACCGAACTGCGGTTGTTTGTACGCAAAGACGGCATTACTTTTTACCTTTAATTTACTAAGAAACTCAAAACTACATATTAAATATAAAATACTTTTTCATTTCATATAAAAATAGATCAAAATTCCTAATACAACACCGAAGGGGCAGCTCTCAGGTTAAACGTGAATTATACTCAATTTAAAGTTGCGAATAACTTCGCCGTCTATTTGCATGTTTTATTACTTGCTTCTCTTCCATACACATGAGATTATAACTTTGGTGGATTGTAAAATATTGTCATCAACGCTAAATTCCATAATATCCACACGTCAACGCGGTTACAACTTGAAAGCTAGTGACTTGGACGGCTTTATGCGACTATTCATCTAATTATATACTCAGATTCAAACTTTTCATATTTAAACGGGATTTTGTTCATTTAAATTGTGTGTCAGAAACTTCAGAAAATCTGGAATATACTTAGATCTACGATAAATAGATTCTAAGCTTATAACATTGTATTATGTAAGTGTTAATACCTTAATATGTAATTCTCTCCCAACTGTAATTTCCGGCTTATTTAGCCGCCTGCTGTTATTGCCCGACTGACAGGTTTGTAATAATCAATTGAAGCTTTGATAATCTAGTTTGATTCGCTTTAAATACTAGTTTAATTACATTTGTATCACATAAATTAATTAACACGGTTTATAGTTAAAATTCATAGCGGTAATATGGTTCGAATCAATCGAAATATATATGTATCTAAATATGGAAAGAAAACTATAATTTTCTTGACGTGTCATAAACAAACTCCAAATATTGTTATCTTTGGTTCATTTTAAATTGTATAAAGTATAAAGAAACTGTTACCAAGAAGAGAACTTGTAAAATAGATCATATTTGAAATCTAAGATTTTCACGAGTAATCATTTAAATGAAACTAATACTTTCGGATTTAATACAAGATCTCGTCTGCCCGTGATCACGGTTGCTTTAAAGTAACCGAAACGTCGGGAGTATGTAGTTTATAATCAAAAATAAAATTCGCGTAATACATCCGAAAAATATTAGTTTCATTTAGATCATATTTATTTAATTTATTGGAATCGACATTGTAAATTCATAGCTTAAATGTCGTTTTTTTTTACAGAGAAACTAATCTTTTAATTGATTGTGTCATCCAAATCACAATATTATATCTTATACATATATATAAACAAGATAATTTTGGTTATGATTTAAAATATTCTGTATATAAATGAGTCCAAGACTCAAATACATCAGTGTAATAGGATCGTAAACATAACCAATGTTATGTAATAATGCTATTCATAAATTCATGAATGGATACAGCATCATGTTGGTAGCGCCGTCGGAATATTAAAAACTGTTTTCGTATAGGAAGTGTTTTGTTCTGACGTTTTCCTGTTCAATGGAAATATTGAAAGATATAGCTCTGTGTTTTTCTAATAGTCGTATATAGAAATGAGGAACGCGGCCTCAATGTACGATATTGGTTAAGAAGAATGACCTAGCAACAGATTGGATGGACGATTGATTGCTGTTGGTTTTCTATTTTAACTTTTGATTTTTTATAACAATAACGCTGTTTATTGTTATTGCTATATTAAATTGTTCTTTTCTTTACTCGCTCTATAGATGTTATAGAGAGAGCAATCTACAAACCGATCTTCCCCAAGAGAGTAATATGTATACACGACTCCAGATAGTATTTCATAGTTTATCTGTTAAATATTTCTTCTAAACTTGTTTATATTTCTGACAAATGACAAATAGACATCAAAACTTCACACACGCAACGTAATATAATCAAATATTCAATATATCATATGATAAACTTTACAAATATAGTAGGTACCTACTAAAAATTTGAGTATTCTGCTTATGATAAAAATAATAATTCGACGCCTACATAAATTCGAATACTAAAAAAACATCTGTGAATATAAAACGAAGGTACCTTATATAAAATGAATCAATAATTTGTGACTGGAATAAAAAGTAATATACTTAATGGGCACTTTCAATATTCATCGAGTAACTCATGAATAATCTCCTAAGTTCCAATAAAAACTACTCACAAAAATCAACGAAACTAAAAACAAACACGTTTCTTTATTTCTTAATAAAACTAAGTATTTCATATAACAAACTGTTGAACCACTTATGTAAGAAGTAACGTATATGTACAATAACTTTATTATAAGAGGAATGCGTACATTTTAATCTTTACCGAGAAAAGGAAAACAACAACTGAGAACTCTATTACGCATTCTAAACAACTTTTTTATTGGCAACATGTTAAGCGCGTCTCTAGAAAGTGGCTTGCGTTTGTTCAGGACTACCCAAATAATCTATTGTTCTTACAAATATATTTACCACCCTTATTTCAAACTAAAAACACTTATCGACATATTCTTAAGGTTCAAAATCGCTTGACATTGTATTGACAGCCTGCAAATATTTTTTTGCACTTATCATGTATACTTTCTTGATAGAATTAAAATACGACGCCAATTTTCTAACGTTAATGTTGTCGGGTGTATTTGTTTCATCTTCCTCATGTTTGTTTCTCAAATAACACTTAATGTATCGAAGTACGTTTCCGCATAAGTACATGTTTGTTTTGACAAAATGTAACATGCTCATTGACTTTAACAAATAGATAAACGAATAATGTAAGATGATATGTTCAAAAGAATATGAAATTCTATAATAAGTGAAAAAAAAAATAATTATGACACGTTGAACGAGAAATTTTAAGTATTACAAAATGGTGTACCTACTTTATATGGAAAACAAAACAAATTGTTCCGAAGTAGATAAAAAAATTCTTAATTCTTCATCAAAATATTCTTCGATATTTTCTTTTCAAATTCTAATAATTATTTTATTTATCAAGCGTTGCAGCCGATGCATATAACTTCTATCTAAAATATACATCCGAAAAACTGTACAAATAATCTCAGAAACATTATCACACTCCACTGATAAGAAACAAGATTAAATTATGCTGAATCTAATTAAGAGGTAATCTGGTAAATTAACGTATAATTTAAGAGGTCACGAAGTTTGATCCTAGGCTCGGAGACAAATAAATTATTGACACAGACAGCAGGAACAAAGCCAAAACACTAAACAAATGTTAACTTTTTCCTTTGATATATAACATTGTAACGTAAAATATTAGTCCGTGTTCATTAGTTCACGTTCAACTTTCAGTTGAAAGTTTATTTCAATATTTGATGCAGATTTTATTTCTTTCAAGCTTGTAACGTGGTCTAAATGTAACTGTAATCAAATTTATACTTACTTTATAATCGTTAATAGCATATTAAAAAGCAAAAATAATTATTGGTTTATATTGTTATTGTATAACCTAGCTATAGAAAATAGATTAAGTATTGATACCAAACTAAGTAGTGTTTAACAAATATAAAAAACAAAAATATTTCCCATTCTTTTTTTATGCTATGGCTTCATTCGGACTGAAATCATATAGTATTTTGCATACGTCAACGTTTTTATTTGCCCGAACCCATTATTTCTTAATTAATGGCCCATCTCATGAAGTAGCTACATATATGTCATTTGAACCGATTGTCACTTGTGTATGGATGTAATGAAAAAAGTTTCACCAAAATGCCGGCCGTTCCCGTGGCCCGGACGCCTGTTGTATTTAACAATGAAATGAGAAACGTCAAAACTCTGAAACTAAACATCCATTTCCCGGAGTTAAATAAAATTGCACGCTCCAGTTATCACGGATAAATATTTGTCATAACTCCATTTTTATGAACAGCGCCATCTATATTTTCTTGTCTTAAGTAAGATTCAAATGCTCAAAGACGTTTTCTTTCAAGTCATAACTTAATCTTGAGATAATATTCAAGAAGAGGTCGCTTTATATAGCCTTTAAGATTTTCAATTTAATATACTATTCAGTTATATTCTTTTGTAATAGTTTTAAAGGCAGTTTTTCAGGTCACGAAACTTCAGTATTTTCTTACGTAATAAACTTTAGGACATTTTAATCAATGGAGCAATTAATTACATTCTTATATCTATGAATAGAATACAAGAGACTCAGTAAGTAGTGTAAGATGGTAAGTTATGAAAAGGCTGTAGTTTTTTCAAAGTACTCAAAGAAAATTCTGAAAAGGGAATATTTCTTTTGTTGAAGCGTCTCTTTTTTTGATCCTAGATTAATAGTATACTCTATAGCCTACTTGGTTAGGGGAATTGATGCCAATAAACGAAATTTTCAATACAACTTAGGTACATATTATTAACTGAGATTAAGCTTGCAAGGACTCTTTTTATTCGACTCCTAGAAACTTGGATTATAGATGCTAGATATTTATAAAATGAAAAATAACTCACAAAACTTACCAGAAAAATCTTTATTTAAACACGGATTACTAAATATTAAAAGTTGCCAGATATTGATAAATAATTAAAACGAACGCAAGACTATGTTACAAGCGACGGACTGACAAACCAATTCCTAGTTTATATATTTTATATATAAATATATACCCACTATTGAAAATCAATTGGCAGTTGATCCAAAAAATTTTTATAGTAACTATAACTTATTATTGCTTCAAATATTAAATATACGAATTAAAAAATCACTTATAAGGTATTAATTCAATAATCTTTTGGAAATATCCTTGCAATCAAGGAGACAACTTTAAAGATTAAAAAACGACAAATAAAAATGGTAACGACAATGACTTCAAAAGATTCTCCTTTAACAATTTATTTTTACTTTTCATATATATTTATTTACGAACCGTTAAGCAGGAAAATATATCAATAATTAAACACTATACAATACATAACTTGCACCACAATACAGAACAAATATAAATCCGAGAAATACGAGCATTGTGGAACAATGCTTACACTTTATCACGTACATTATAGAATTAATATCGGCCGGCCATTATTAACACTCGTATTAACAATATTATTATAATTATGTTTATATTTTAAACAATTTTCATAAAACAAAATACTTTACTTTTAATTTCCTTGATCTGAAAATTATTAAATATCAAAATGACAATGAAAGTCTTTTAAGAGTTTTAAGTGACGTGACGCAATTTCCTACGAGAATTACATAAATAGTTATATCTTTCTTTGATATTAATAAAACTAATTTCAGAACAAAACATTATCAAATGGCTTCAAAACACACTAGCCTGTAATCTAGCTATGTCTGCAGTTCTTAGCGAGATTTGAATCCATCCAGAACATTACTATTACCAAGAACTTGTATTAACAGACTACATACATTTTGTTTATTACTATAATACTATAATAAATAAACAACTAGAAAATCTTTGTATTTAATTTGATGACGTCACTAATAAGAGGACGCGAGAAAAAAATATCGTTACCGGTAAACGACAAAAAAAAGACACGGAAACTTTCATCTCGTCTTCCTGTGATCATGGTAAAAAGAAATCATTACATAGTATAAGAAAGATTCATAGCCGAAAAAAAATTATAGTTCAATTTAAAAGCACGTATAATTTTGATAATATAAAATATTATTATGAAATAAAATGCCTAAAAACATCAAATTCTCTATTTTAGAAACTAAACATTGATTACAGTTGAATAATAATCGAAGTTAATTATTATTTATGGACAGAGTTTGAGTTAAAGACATTATCTTTTCACATATCTTAATTGGTATAAGACTTTTTTAAGTATATTACAAATGATTACCTTTAAGAAAAGCTATTAAATTTAATGAGATCTTTCTAATCCTTTATTCCTGACAAGAATATTAAGTATTTTTCATAATCTTACTAATCAGCTGCTCTTGATTTTAATCTTGCACAAAAAATAACAAAATATATACGAACTTACAAAAAGTATATTCTTGTAATGCTATACCAAACATTAATTTAAAATTAATTAACTAAAGAATTCACAAAACATTAACACAAATCAAAGAAAATATAAGCAAAAGTGAAATTATTACAAAGGAGACATACGAGTAGGTCGTGATGCTTAAATACGATGCTATCGTGACCATGTTATATGTCTTTCCTAAGATTACGTGAATAAACATTCTCATAGGAAAATACTTTTAAATTGAGTTGAAAATTTACTTCTACAACATGAATAAATTATAACATATGTTATAACTTAAATAAACTGCATATTTTTATGCAGCAAATTTAATAAAGATAAAATTATATAATAGTTCAACGAAAGACGTATTAATCTGTATGTTTTAAGTCGAGTTTTTAGTTTAAAGGTGATCATGGTCACCCTCATCTTACGTTTTGTAAGAGTGAAAGTCCAGCCAGCCTCCACGCGGCCACAACGGAACTTGACATACACCATGGTGAGTGTGTACAATATAATATATAATTTTATATTCATTAAAACATAAAGGTATTTTTTTATAATAAATAAAACCTTTGTTTAAACTCTTTTATAATACATATATTAGTATTGACATTATATTAAACATACATTTCTCTTTAAGTATTTGTAAGAAAATATATCTTTTGCGGTATCATAATTATTATTTATGTTTATTTTTGAAGAAAGCTTGTATTTTCTTTATTAATCGCCTTAAGAAAATATATTCATAAATACTAAAACTATTTTTAATCCATCTAGATAATATAATTTGTAGATTAAGTATTGTGTTTTTCCAGAAATCGTTTCCATTTGTAATATTCACACCATTTTATATTGAATAATATAAAATAATCCCTACACTGTTGTTTCATAAGTTTGGTGTATGATTAATATATTTTAAGTAATCGTTGTTCTGTTTATATGAATGTAATCACTTAATTTATTTCATTCATTATGTTTTTCTGACAGCGATAAATCATTTTTCATATCATCTTTACTTTCATATAGACTTCATTGCATTCGCAAAAAGAAATTTAATCAATCAAACACATATTGATAATCTGTTTGTAGAAAATTCCAGAAATTATTGAGTATTTTTAACCTACTTCAAAAAAGGAGTCTGTTTCTTTTAAGATTTGCTTATTCGTATGTGTCGTTTATTAAGACCTAAAACAATTCGTTTTAACTTTTAAGTACACACGCAATGTGTATGCAAATGAGTATTTGTTGTAAAACAGTGTTAAACACACGTTTAAAACCAGTTTTATGAGACTTAAGTTACGATCGCCTTTATGTAACATAATTATGATATGGAAAATATTAAGAACGGTAAAAAAATGTTTATTGGTTGCTCGAGTAACTGTTAATACAATCATTGAATTAACTTTTACTTTGTTCTTTTCATATTCTTATTTAAATTCAAAAAAAAATAGGAAATTTAGGAAGGAATTGTACTTAAGTTAATTATGTTTTAGTCACTTTGAGATTTTGAGAACTTATATATCGTGTTATAAGATTTAAGATTCTTCCTATTCAAGGTTTTTCTGTTAAAAAATTTATTTAGTTACAGTTATCCTTACTTATGTATATTGATAGCCTTCCATATAATTAATGCAATGTCAGCACTGACGTCATACAAATAAGTATAGCAATTTAATGTAGGTACAAAAGTATGATGTTTCCTAGTCATATGTACTTTTAAACAATATTTATACACCACTGACTGATGAAGGAAAAGATAACGAGGAAACCTGGACCTATACTTTCACATTATAAGTTTGAAATCACTAACCCGTCTTGAGCAAGCGTGGTGATTAATGCTCAAATTTTACATGTGAGAAGAGGCCTTTGAGGCTCAGCAGTGAGCTCTGATAAGCTGATGATGATAACAAAAATGTGAATGATTTCAAACAACACATTTAAATACTTACTTAAATATGTTTATAAACCTTATTAATGTCATTTACTGTTGTTTATTAAAGGGCGCATCTCAGAGTGATCAAGGAAATACCGGCAAAGCAGATCTCGTCACCAGAATAAAGTCAAGAGTTGAAAGTGTAGATCCAGTGAAGGCCAGGGAACTTGGTGGTGTATTCCTCTTTAACATCATCAAAGGAACTTCGGTTTATTCTTGGAGTAAGTTAAAAATAAGCTTTAAATAGCTTATCATATTTATGTTTTACTTGGAAGAAATAAGGTTTAGGTTTGTCATCAAATTTATGTGTATTAATGGCCCAAAGTTAGTTAAAATAATTCTATTGTTATATTCTGAAATGTCAAACGAAATAAAACATATAAAATTCAGTACATGAGGTAGCGCGTGTTGTTAAATAGAATCGGCACCACATAGTATGGTCGAATGAATGGTTTATACCGGAAAGATTAAATTTACAACCAGAAACCGGCAACACAATCCGGTACAACATTCCCGAACACTAATTATTAATTAAAAAAATAAACAGTTTGATGAAATCGCTATTCAGTTTAAAATTCTCAGGTTTATACTGACACTAATAAAATATTAATTAATTATATTACATGTGTTCCTCTTGCGAAAACTAGATGAATATAATAGTCAATTTTATATGTGATATGAAAAAAATACAGAAACATCTATTAACTTAAGACTATAAGCTTAAAAACTAGTGTATTTAGAGGAAGATGTTTCTTCAGTTTTATATATACAGTATCTTCTAAGCAGAGTAAGAATTGAGGTGAAATTAAATATTTAGCACTGCTGGAATTGAATGTACTGATTTCTAGGTACGAAGTAAAATTTAATTAGAAATAATTTGAGATATTCGGAAAATAACATTAAAAGGGATGAGAACATGTGAAAATGATAAAATGCAATCAAACATTTTACTACGAGAAATAATACAAAAATGCAGACTGGGTGAAATGTATAGACTTTATTTACAATATCATGACCGATTGCCCGTGATCACGGTTGCTGCAAAGTAACCGAAACGTCGCGAGTATATGTAATTGTTTACAAAAATAGACCGTGTAGTATATCCGAATAATATTAGTTTCATTTAAATGAATAATAAAGTCTTAGATCTCATTATGACTGACTTTCATTTCAGCTCTGGATCTGAACAAGCCGACAGTGTACGAAGGTGAGCCAGATGATGACCCTGATACTACATTCACTCTCAATGAACACTACTTCAAACAGCTGGTCTCCGGACGAGAGGATCCGCGCGTCATCATGCAGGCAGGACGCTGCTCAGTCACTGGGGACATCATGAGGGCTATGAAACTTGAACCATATATTAAACTAGATTAGATTCAATTTTGATTGCTAACTGCTTCTTAGGCATATCGGATATAAAGCAAGCTTTTACGTAGATATAAATAATGTTTTAAGAAAATTAGACATACGTTTTAAACAAAATGTATTAGAAAGTCTATTGGTAGGTAAATGATTTCAGAAGCCACCATGTTTTACAGCGAACAACAAATTTAATAAAATATTTTTACTACTATATAATGTAATATCGCTGTTAATTGTAGTCTTTTTGTATTTTTAATTACTATAAATTATTATTAGAAAAAGTTACAAGAATTAAATTGTTTTTAATTTAATAACAACCGTTTCCCATTTGATCGTATTTACTTCTACTTATTTTCCGATGAAAGCAACTGTTTATTGAATGAAGCGAATGAAACGCTTTACTGGCGAGTCAAGTCATTCATCCACAGAGATGATCTCGGCAACTGAATTTCCTATCAAATTGAACTTTTTATTCTTTAGTAGCGCACAAATAACTATCGGGGGTGGTTTTTATAAAAAAAAAAACTTTAGATCGGACCATTAATTTCAATGTTAGGGCCCGGAATACGAAACCAATGTCCAAGAGCACGATTTAGTACTGAACTGTTCAAGTCACTTCACACTATTTGCAACGAGAACTTTGCGAAAAATGTTATGATTGATCTCCTAGTTATATGATAATAACTTTTATAGCTTAACATAAAACAAGAAATTGTTTTTATATACAAGATTACATATAAAATATTTTCATTAATTAACGTAATTTTGATTTCACATCTAATATGATCAAATAATACTTCAATACTATAAAATTTATTGCATTTAAATATTTCTTATAAATTATAAATATTAAAATTATAATTTTATAAACATTATATATTAATGTTTGCACAAGATGATGATAATTTTTGTTCATTAAAAACATTTCAACATCCTATTGAATATGGAATATATTTTCACTGAATTTCATGAAAATTCAGATTTCAAAAGATGCTGTTAATATAAAACTGAATAAGTATTGGGTTATCTATTTACTTTGTCATTTATATACGGGTTAAATACTGTTTAATCGTCAACATAGTATGGTTCATTTCCTTTGCTTTTTGTGTTGTTTGAAATGTCGATACACTTACATTATAAGATTGTTTACCCTGCCTTGCTTTCCAAACACTTATATATTATACTTTTAAAATGAATGTAACTTGGTGCAAGCTAGACATTTAAATGAGATTTAAAAGCTTTTCTCTTTCTCTATGCCTTCTGTCGCTGCAGACAAATGACATAACACAGTCTTCGATAAATTATGGTATAATTAAAAGAATTTGGCCCTGAAAATCAAATATACAGTTGACGATTTAATATAGTGAGAGCAAAAAAGTAATTTTCATAAACCTTAACACATCCCAGTTATTAATTGTATATTGCTTAGAAAGATTTAAAGATAAGAATTAAAAAATCTACTATGTAGCCTCTTTTAATTATAGCACTGTATCTCTATAACCACCTGTATGTATAAAATAATAAATTAGGAATCTAAATAAAATATAATAATTAATAAATATATAACTTCATAATACTAAGATTTCCGTGAGTATTTTCATTTTTACATCTCACATTTCACGGGTAGATGAGATGAAATCTCGTCTCACGGTTGCTTCAAAGTAATCGAAAGTCCAGGAAACGTAGAAATAAAATAAAATCAAGTATGTAGTCATAACATAATTTCATTTGAAACATCGTCAGGTATAGTGGAAATCCTAGTGATAGATAGTGGAAATGGAACTAGCATTGGATAATTCAGCGTATCTACATTGGAAGCAGAATCAGAATAAAGTGAACACTAAGTAATTACTAATTGTGAAAAAAATACCTTAAAAGTCGTTAATATAGACAATATTTCAGCTTAAAGTTTTAGCCAGTAAGTAATTCTGAGGGATTATAAGTGTTACTTATATTTTATTAACTAATTGGAGTGAGCCTTTTTATTATAAGAATACTTTTATTTCTTGGTCAATGCTTGATATATTATTGATTGAAGTCACATATTAGTATGATAGTATGGCATATACAAACGTATATACGCATCCAAAGTATAAAATCAGTCTTTAGACAGCTCTAGTGATCTGTCGAAGTCCTAGGAACTCCGCAACCAACTGTTCAGGATATTGCAATTAATACTTATTTCAATCTTATCTTTATTAAATAGTACTGAAGTCTCAAATTATATTTCAGTAAATTACAATGCAAGTATCATGCATATAATAGATACTTATACTTATTAAATCGTATTTAATATATTGTATCATTCTTTTCACTAGCAGTCTCTGAGTTAGATGAAGCAGATGACAGTACTCCTACTTACAACTTACAAGTCAAACATGTATATCATAAACATATATATCTTGATTACTGAATCGCTTTTTAATTTCATTCAAACTATACTCCGAAGTTTATAAAAGGGATTGATTTTCAAAAATTCTTTTATTCTACTAAATAAAAGCTATGTGGAGTTTTACATTTTCGAAATTAATTTTCTCAAATAGTTTAATATTAGTTCATCATCTAAAGTATAGAGTCACTATTAACTGCTTTGTTAAACATTCTAAATAACGGTCCGCAAGCGATTTGGATCTTAATTTTTCTTTCTATAGATAGATTCGTTGATAAGATCTTGTATTTTAACCGTAATTATAAAAACATAATCATGTGAAAGTTATTAACTTATTTAAGAGATATTAGTATTATTTTATTATTCACTTTTTCAACCTATCTAGCAAAATAGCTTCTTTAAAGGAGACCGCAATTAATAGTCAGCTTTAATTAAAGAATATTTAAACTTGAAAAACGAAACAGCTTCAAATGTGAGCTATTCAAGTAATTTCATTTACTATAGTCTGCGTTACTATTTTTTTATTGTTGTTACAAAATTTCAGATAAAACAATGAGATCTAAGGCTTTCGCGAATGTTCATTTAAATAGAACTAATAGTATTAATTAAATTTAACGAATATTTTTAATTTAGGCAGTTTAAATGGAACTAATATTAGTTTCATTCATATAGAATAAGTTTAATATAACATTTAAATAAGTTTATCCACTTCAACGAAGATATTAATATAATCTGTATCCAGTGTTATACATACATAAATAGTAATATTAGTACTTATAATAACACTCATGTATACTTATAAAGAATTTACCGTTCGCTAATCAAGCAACCTAACAACTTGTCGATTTAAAGTTTTGATAAATATAAAGACGTGTACACACTACACAACGACGAGGCATTATATATTACATAGTAAGTCCTTACCCTAAATTTCTCATGTATTTTAATCTTTCATTAACATCCGAAAAATTAAATTTCCATCTAGACTAAACTCCAAAGATTTTCAAATATGTAAACCTCTTTATGTTTTTACATTTAAATATAACATTAATCTACTACGTATATAATAAAAAAACATTATTCTTTAAAAATATTTAACACAATAACGGCTTATATGGATATGTATAAAACTCTTTATGTTTGAACAAGTTCAAGACTGGTTTTCCACAACACCTCGGTCAGCAACCCGGACCCTGACATTAGCAGCCCTGGAATGTACATGGGAACTATAAACAGAACATCTATTTATAGTATATACCAAGGATAAATCATTTATTGAAACATATATCAAGAAACATTAACCTATCCTTTGAATACATTTGATTAACTTGTAAACTTGACGTATAAACAAATTACTAGTAACAAATGTTATAGAAAAAAGATTAACTTGTTAGAATAGTTAAATATATTTATCAATAAAAACAAACCCAGTTACATAAGGTGAATCATAATAAATACACTTATGTACATATCATACATTTTTAAATAAATAATAATAATAATTTTCCTCCGTACATTCATAAATAATTTGTACTGAGAAATGAAACAGTATTGATAATTTCATATATCTTAAGTATAAAATATCTTGATATATAAAAGTAAATATCTTTATACATTATACAATATTAAAATATATACATACATGAATAATTATAATGTATATTATGTTGTAAATAACTTTTATATATACAGATATAAACATATTATTGTTGTTTTAAGAGAACGGCCCTATTAGGACCTAATGACAAGTAAGCCCTAGACCGACAAAGGCAAAGTACAGTCGCGTACAACAATCATATTATTGTATTAAATATAATATGAATTAACATATATAAGAAATAATTTAAAAGACTTCTATATAAAATGTATTATAATTCTTATGTAAAGCTAAATATTTTTAAATAAAAACTTTATTACCCTAATTTTAATGTATAATTTATATTATGAATATTCGTCATCGGATATTATAGTATATTTAATCGTCATTGTCTTTTAAATTCATTAAAGTAGGCAATATTTTAATAAATAAATATATATTTTCAATAATAGTTCCCGCTCTCGACTGTACCGGTAGGTCGAGCTGAGTCTGTGTTGAGACGAATATTTTTATAACTAACATTCAATTCTCATCCGCGAAACGGTTCACATGTAGTTTAAGTTATTTTACAAACAAACAGACATACAGATAGTGACGATGTCTAAATTAAGCTTCCTCGCCTTCGCCGCTGTCTTGACTTTAGGTTACGGTAAGTTATCCAATTATTGTATCCCTTTATAAAGAAAAAAAGGTCATTTTACGACAGTACGAACCTCCTTACTCCTTAGTAGTTGTTCAAAAAATAAGCCATTCAATTTCAAAGCTGAAACGACTTATTATGAAAGAACTATGTCCTAGCATAAGAACTATCAAACATAATATGATGCTTTTGTAATAGTTTTACATATTATGTCTATTTATATATTAATATAGTTTAATAAATATTATAAACACATTTATTAGGTGTGCAGCAGACAAATTACGATATAAGCCGGCACAGAACGAACGGGGCTAATAACGGTAACACGAGAAACCATTATAAAAAACATACTTCATCAATTTCAATTATAACATCTAACGCATATATCATTTTCCATTATTTTTAACGAATTCATCGTACGGATGCTTTTACATAATTCTAATTGACCAGCTAAAGCTTTGGTGCAAAAATTCGTGAATATGCATCGCGCTAACAAATGTATAGAATCTAAAAATTTTGTTCATTTTAATTCTATATTAAATAATGGACACTGTTATTTACGATCCATAACGGTCAAATGAAAAAATATAACAGTCTTTTATATTCCGAATTTGTTTATATTTTAATCTGCAGCTATGTATACTAAAATTTTAGTTTACGTTAAAAATATAAATCTTAATTAATTCAAGAATATATGTAAAATATTGTTAAAAACTTTTTGTTTACATGACATAAAAACAATTGTAATTAAAAAATTAATGACTGAGGAACTGAGCATCACCAAGGTCTTAACTGTGAAACCACGAATTAACATTTAATTAGTAAATCTTAACAGAGATCAACCTATTTACTGTATCGTATATTCGTATCATTCACTCCACGAACTAACCATTCATTCATTCATTCACTAACGCTCACCATAATCATTCAACAGGTTTCACTATAAGAGACATATGGGACTATTTATTAGGAGGCGGCTACGGTAACGGCTATCACGGCAACTATCCCGGTTACTATCCCGGCGGATCCGGTCTTTATCCTGGCGGATACCCAGGACAATATCCCGGGGGCAACTACCCAGGATATCACCCAGGCTTAGAAGGTCCTCCCGGCGCTCATCCCGGCTGCCCTCTCTGTGATTCATCAGTATACAGCTACTGCTCTCACAAACAAGCTCATGATTCGTGCTGTTGTGAAAATTCTGCTTGTAAGTTCCTTTGAAATTCAAAATATACAGCTATTTTTACTGGCAAGTACAAAAGACTTACATCTAACTGCTGTCAGTAATATATACCGATCATTTACGAAATTTTGCGATTCAATATTTATTTAGAGTCCCGGTCAGAATAAGATATACCTACATTATCTATAACAATAAAAGAACTCAATTTATAAATGATACCAACTCACAAGAACGCAGATTTACATTCTCGGATATTACACCATAATAATACAAGTAATTATATGTTATACTATATGTATCGAGATTAACACTTTTTGCGTTCTGTATTTTCCGGTAACTAATAATTGAATAAGACTAAAAACTTTTATAAAAAAATTACCACACGCACATGTACCTATACAGCTACTTCTTTTTAATTCTAACACTTTCTTATAATCAGCATTCTATTTTAGTGCAGTACTTGGGAAATATTTTCTGAAAATATGTTAATAAATACAGAAAAAATAAAATAAGGTTTTATGTCATAATGTTGGATAACGTAGTGTTGATATATAAATTTAGTAAATGAATCTTTTTATGATTACGTCCATTTCACACTTCTTATGTCTAAGTGTCTCTTATTGTAAATATATGGGTGAAATTACGTTATAATGCTTAGATAAATGTATAATAATAGTATAGTATGATAATATCGACGTAGGTTTGTGAAATAAGAACCAAATACGCTCCATATGTAGTGGGACCATGTAAAAAAACTACATTGTCTATTGAATTGTCTTTGCGTCAAGTATATTTGGATTTAATTTTGTTTTTTATTAACAGCTTATTTAAATGTTTTTCAGTTTCTCTATTCGGGTGTCGCAATTCGGACTGTAAGTTCATCTACGCTAACTCTTGTCAAGAATACCATCTGATCACAAACTGTTGCTGCGTCGACTTACAGAAGAATGCCATCGCCCCGCCCATAGTCGCTGCTGCACCCTAAACATTAATGTTCTCATGCTTTAAAAATGTATTAGCTTTTTATAATGGCAAGACAGAACGTATCTGTTATTATTCGTGTGACAAGATGAAAATAATTCTTGGTGTTAAATTGGATAGGATAGTCTTAGCAATACTGTTACAAGAGAAGTTTGAATATTGTGTTAAAAACGAAATAAATTTCACTTGACCATCCAAATCTAATACTTGTTTTTTTTTGACGTTTTTGAAATTCGGTACGTCATAATTGACAATTGAAAAAATAAAAAAAAATACCGGTAATAATAAACTTTTTGTGACTTCAGTCGTGGGGGTTAAATTTTATTTCATTTAAAAGTTAATACCGGATCGTGCCTCTTCGTCTTTGCACGGATGAAAGCCATATTTTAACCAACCAACCAATAATAAACTTTGAAATACCATTTTTTGTATTCTACATACCTTAAAACAAAATAATTAAAGGTATTAAATGAAAATGCTTTATTGTATTAAGTTTTATTATACGTTTAAAAATACTCTAATACCTACATAACATGCCGTGGCGCCTTACAGTATTTTCATAGATAACATATAAAAAAATCGTTTTTTAGTCTGAACACATTGCTATTTATTTTGATATATTTTAACATCGGCTTGTCAGTTGTAACTTGCTCTAAAATTTTCTTTTCGTACATCGTTGGCAATCTAATTGTAATTTTAATACAAATTCAAAAATGTTAGGCCCCGTCTAATGCACGTACATGATAGTTAAAATATCCTAGTTTTACACTTCATTATTAAAAATTCGTTATACATGGTACGGAAGTACAGTTTACCTCGTTATTGCTAGTGACAAAACTATTGGAAAAACATTATTGTTATAATAATAAAAACTCAAACCAATCTGAACATACGCAAGACTACGATTAAAAGTAAATTTCTATGAATAATGTCTCCTAAATTTACTATACAATAAGATTCAAAGCCTTCGTAATTCTTATATAGGCGGTTTATTGAATACTCATAACTAAATGAAACTATCTTCACAGTTTTCATCGCAATTTTTATTTTTAATAAAATACACACTTACAAATAATTGAATTCACAGTATACTGTTCATGTGGTTTTAATACAGGCAAATGCCTTTTACATACATTCATTCAAACATAAAATTCGTTAAGCACTGGTTTAAAATGACAGCACCTGTCAGAGACCACGGTGTGTCCTATATGTTACACAGACTATATTATTCGTAGCATACAAGGAGGGTTTTAATGTAAAAAAAGTTTAGCACAACTTGTTTAATCGCAAACTATAAAAATACTGTCAATCGTCCACCATAATTTCCAATTTAATAAAATAAAAACAGCGACAAAACTGTAGAAAGTTTCACTTATAGATTAAGATACAAAAAAAAAACTTTTTTGCCTTACATTAAAAAAAAATGGTGCAAAACAACATTTTGCTTCAGTACATAACATGAAGGCGATCGTCGCTACTGCGTTTTGGCTTTACTTATACAACTATGTAATCGAGTCCAACTCACTGAGGTAAAACAACTGACTCAGTTAACAAATATCTTTCACATCACAGCGACAGGATACTTAAATATTAAATTTAAAATAGTTGCAATACACATACATTGCTGAATAATAGTGGATTACCGAGAATTGTTATCTGGGGCTGATATACAAAAATGTTTGTCTAAATCACATAGTCACGGGTTATTTTAGTACACAGATATTTGATAGCACTGTATTTTATATTGTTTGTCCACTGTTTGAGGGTTCATCGCAGGCTGGAGTTGGTTTTGGTCTCAACGCATGCGGTAGTGATTCCTCTCCTGCACTTGACAGAGCTCGCCCTTGAAGGACAGCTCGACTTCAAAGTCCAGGTCTCGGTTGTTGCGAGCATTCTGACGCATACAGAACGTACCAGTTATCTCCTCACCTTTCTTAACCTGGAAATATAAATAAGGAATGACATGATAGCACTAAAAATATGATAAATTATGTTACTTGTAAAGGTAAATTTTGTTAAAGGTACAGGAGACTTAAATATAAATTTGAGGGTGTTGAAATGTAGGGTGGTATTATTATGGTGTTATTGAAACAAAAGAAATAATCAGTGATGAATGGAATTATAATCAAAGACTGTATATTGTATAGTCGTTTGCTCTTGTAGAAGTCGAATGAAAGCTTTCAAAGGCTTATAGCATATTGAAACAAATTAAGTATTTAATACATTTGATGTATGTAATTGAATTGTAACAATCTTTATACACCTTTCACACAACATCTTGTAACAATACCTATAAATAAACATATAATGAGTACTCACCGTCATATATTCGTCAAAGTAGAACACAGTCTGCTTCCAATGTGTGTAGGGAGCCTCGGGGGCTGTACTGAAGCCCAGTCGCTTGTGTGACTTAGTGAACTCTACATTGAAGAATGTCACTAACGCCTGAATGAAATCATTGCGTCGGACCTGGGGTTCAAAACATATTGTTATACAACTAACTGTATCAATTTAAATTATTTTCTCTAAGATCTAAGATTTTCGAGAGTCGTATTCATTTAAATGAAATTAATATTTTTCGTATATACTACGCGATTTTATTTTTGATAACTACATACTCCTGAAGTTTAGGCTACTTTTCAGCAACCGTAATCACGGGCAGACGATTTGTGAGTGTATTTTCCCTTAAATTAAATTCTTATGAAGCAAGATATAGCACTAATTAATTACAGTGAAACTTGGTTAAGGGGGACCTGGATAAGTGAGAAACCTCCATAACTGGAACTCATGCTGAGGTCCCAACACTTTGGCACTGAATTACCTCTGTTAGTGGGCCGAGATAAGCCTCTATATCTGGGATTTGTTCTTTCGATTTATCATCATAGTTACCTTTATAACTGAGACAGCGAGTAAATTTTATATGCATAAACCTCTGTAACTGAGATGACATTGTTTGTTTACTCATTCTACCCACAAATTCCACACGTAATTCCAAGTACGTAAGTACAAATTTTGAGCTTCAATTACCTTCAGTTTTAGTTTCGCTTTACTATCATACAGATGTTTATTTGAAAAATGCCAAAACGAAAGCTACAATCGTTATCATTACGTGAAAAACTGAAGTTAATATCCGTTTATGAAAGTGGGAAGACACGCGAAGAAGTTTGTGCCGAATTTAATGTGCCAAAATCGACTCTTTGTAGAATAATTCAGAGTAAACATAAAATTGAATCACAATGTTCTGAAGGACAAGGGAAACTAAAACGTGTACGTTTATCAGTAATTAATGGAACCCTCTGTAAATGAGACGGATATTTATTTATACTTGTATATCTGAGACACTGGGTAAATGGAATACCTCTATAAGTGAAACGAAATTGCAGGTCCCTTGATGTCTCACTTAACCAGGTTTCACTGTATTTGTAAATTTAAGCCCACTAGGTAAGATAGGAAAGAATTCATATGTCCAAAATTAACAATATTATGGACAACTTGTGACAATTTCCTATAAATATATTTTTAATAATATCAGTATTTGTTTAAATATACCTGAAGATGGAACTTTGATTCAAAGTTGAGATCTTCTTTCTTGACTGTGTACAGATCTATTTCTTTCAATAAGCACGAATTTGTGACAACCTGTAACAAATAATTTAACATGATACACAAACAAACACTTATATGTTGACAATATAAATATTTCAATAATTTATTGCCATAAAAGTATACTTCCGCTTATAATGAGAGACAAGGAACAATAATATGAATCCAGAACCAATTTTAGTATTAGCTCAAATATAACATATACATATATTGTATTTTTATCAATACCTGCTACCAAAATCCTTGTTTGTAAATGAGTATAAATCTATGCATGAAATATGAATGATAACAACAAATAGTAATTAACTATTAATAATTATATTTTTTGAAATTAATAAATAAAAATAAGTCTTTCTTTAATCTAAATGACTATTTAGTTGGATTTAAAACCATAAATTTTAACTTATTTCCTCAAAACAAGTGTTAAAATTGTTCTTCATACAATTTCGAATCCATAATGTGAATTCAGTAACAACTTTAAATATAATAAAACAAGTAATAAAATATGGCTTTACTTGATTCTGTCCTATAAAACATCTTTTAAAATAAATCTATGTACCTTTCATAAATAATTAATATAAAATGTATTTAAAAACAATTATTGTCAGGACACATAGGATTGAATAATTAATTTAATGTAATTCTGAAATTAATATGGCAGTTACCAAAGATGTGTACTTGTACATTTTGAGTCAAAATTATTGATCAAAATTTACCAAGCAAGAGAATTAAATTAATATTCTTAAATAAAATATAGCAAAGGTGGACAGGTTATTTTTAATGGAATCCCATGACACACACATCTATCATGGTAATTTCTATTCCATGTATTTACTTAGAAAATCATAGTAAATAATACAAGAATTTATAAATGCAATTTATCTGATGTGTGATTGTCATGAAAAACTTATATATAGCAAAAAAATCAAGCAGTGTCTTCAGAAACAAATCATTATTTTTTAAACAAAAAATAATCAGATACAGGAAGTTTCAACTATGACAAAAAAAAAACAAGTAGACAAAAAACTAAAGAATAGGCCAAGTTACGGTGGTCTGAGAATTTTATATGTTAATGCTCATTTGAGATAGTCTTTAAAACATACTTGACTCTAAAATTTAGAATTTTCTAAGACTGTTCATTTAGATCAAACTAATATTTTCCAATTACTATGAGTTAGTTTAATATTTCAAAAAACTACATATTTCTGATGTTTCAGTTACTTTGCAGCAACCATGACCAAGGCAGATGGAATGAAATATATTTCATACACAGTTGAACATTTGATATTTTAGTTAATGGGTATGAACCGTTTTTTAAATTTTAATTCAAAAACTAAACACACTCCTAATAATTATAAATTTAGGACTCAAAAAAATAATTTAAAAAAAGGCAGCCCTTGTTCATACATAAATAAAACCAAATGCCATAGATTTTGTAAACTATTAATTTTAAGTATGACCTTAAATATTGTTAGAGCAAAACTTGCAGTTTACAACACTTATTACCTACTACTTAGCCTCACTTGACTTTCCTTTTTTTATTGTATCAAAACTTTATAAAGAAATCTCATTGCAACCAATATTTGATTAAAATTATTAATATTTAAGTTATTATCTAAATAAAATATATAAATTCTGTACAAACATTACCTGTTTAGCATCAACAACATCAACGAGTGGCTCCGATATAGCCACCTTTCTGATAGAGGACATGTCGAAGCCGTACACATCATCCCACCAGTTGATCTTCTCATCTTTGTACTGACGGTCTTCAATACCACAGATGAACAGTGTGCATCTGGCATTATAGAAACATTATCAGCTTGTATAGTAATAGAACAATGACTTAGGTTTTGTTATAAATCAATAATAGTTTTAAGATATATAAAATTCTATGTAGAATAAAAACAGTTATAATATTTTGTGATCATTTTAAGGCATATATTAGAATATATGAAAGAACTATGTAATGTTAGTTTACTAATTCATTAAAAAGAATGGCTTAAAAAAGTTTGTAATCTTAATATACAATATTGGTAAGTTCAAAATATTGTAATATTTAAAACAGGGCTGTCAAAATATTTTTTATCTTCTTTGTTTTAATACATGAATGAGCAAACACTGGTAATTATAATGATATTATTATAACCACTATTTTATAAATAATGTGCGGCCAAGCAATGTATTTATTTATTTTAACGGCCCTGGATGCAATCAAGTTTGGACACCCATGATTTAAATTGTTAATAATAATAAATGAAAATAACCTATCAGGAAACAGCATGCCGTCGGGCTGCAGCCACTTGTCCCGAGCATACAACACCGTGTCCAACATGCTCTCATAGAACAAACAGTAACCCATCCACTCAGATATAATGATGTCCACCTTTTCTACAGGCAGCTCCACTTCTTCGACCTGGTGAAAAACAATATTATTATAGTCTTACATTTACTATATTTGTGATAACTAATACTTACATTGCTACTTTAAAGTATAAATTTACACATATTTAACATTTTTTTTTTATAATATAGGGGGCAACCAAGCAGGCTAGCAATCCGATGGTCGATGATCACCGCCGCCCATGAACACTCGAGCCAGAAGGCACCAGAGTGCCTTGCCGGCCTTACATATATGTAGATATACAACAGTAGGTATACTAATCTCTATATACAAAAAAATGCTTAAAATATCTGCTTACTTTTCCTTTAACAATTTCTATGACATCATCAAGTCTGTTAGCCTCAACAATCTTACGAGCGTAGTCAACTATGTTGGAGCACTCCACCGCTATAACTTTAGCAGCCCCTGCTTTGGCCGCAAACATTGACAATATGCCCGTACCACAGCCTATGTCTAAGACAGTCTGTAAGGATATTGTATGTTAATATTTCTTTTAGTAGAGGGAAGATTAAATAATACTAAGCTTATGAAACATATATCAATGAATAGAGAGAATTATGTACTAAGTTTAACCAATCTCAATCAAAGTATATGTCCCCTCGTTGTTTTTATAAGTTAAGTTACTATATTTATGAAATATTTAATAATTATATATAATAAAGCTGCTTACTTTTCCTTTGAAGAGATGCTTATTGTGGTACATAGCATTTCTATATGTAAGTGTACGAACTTCGTCTTTTAACATTTCCTCGTGTATACCGAAATGTGCGTATGAATCAAAATAATAATCACGCGAGGTCATCTCTTCGGCAGTAACATTTTTATCTGGTCCTGAGACAGTCAAAAACATTTGCTTTTAAATAAAACACTAAACATAGAAACACGTTTTCACGCGAGGTACCGGCGTCCTTATAGACGCACATTTTTAAACAAACTTACCATTTTCTGTTGCGGGCGTAGATGCTGAAGAAGTACTTTCCTGGGCGACATCCATACTTTCCATTTTTGTATTATTACTTTGAAACACTAGCAAAAAAACAATATAAAAAGAATATAACCTGCAACTATTAACAATGTACGCCAAATCGATCCGTCATAGACGAATTTCAACGAGTATCTCTACTTCAGGTAACTGGTTGATTTACTTACAAATACTAAACTATGTTAGCTAGTAGGATATTAAATAGGTAAATATCACAATTTGAAATAAACTAGGCACAATCCCTTACAAATTACTTAAATTACTTATCAATTCCCTCTCTTTTGAGAGTTGATCTGAATTGAATGAAATTTTGCACAAGCATTAAGCACAGACCATAGAGGAGTCAAAGAGTATAGACTAAAAATTAAAGAACAATCATTGTCTACTTTGATTATAAAACATTTAGCCAACTTATTTTGATGTAATTATAACATAACAGGCTACTGTTTTTATTACAAAACAGTATAACAACAAATTATTATTTCATGTGAGTTGGATTATAATTTATATGTACTTGCATTAATATTTATGTTTTTCATTACTAACAGATTTGAGAGAAGAGATTTCCTGTTCTCGTGAGCCTCTTCTGTGTGTTATGTCCGCACTTCCTTTATCAGTTTCCATTATTTCATTTAATTTGAAGAATTCGTTACAAAATAGGCAGCAAGTTTTCCCTATAAAAATTCTTCAAATGATATCAAAAACAAACTCAGCTGAAATTAATCATCACAATTTTTATACAGTCATAAACACTTTAATTCACTTTCTATCGTGTTCAGGGTTGCTATTAAATAACTTGGGGTTACTAATACTAAAAATACAAAATAAAAAGCATTTACATGCAAAGGCGGTAGAGCCTAGATGTGGTCAGATACTATAACTCGTACATGCGCTGGATCGATCGGAGAAGTATTACCCTGCTACAAAAGATCAGCGTCAAGTAATATTTAATGAGTGTGTTACGTCCGATGAATGAAAGGGCCGATTGCCCTTTCCCTGTTCCCTTTCCTGCCATTTCCTTATTCCCACCCCTGCCTCTTCCTCGACCACCAAGATGGGCAACACATCCACAACATACTATTATGTTGCGGATGTCAATGGGCGACAGTGTCTACTGCCCATCAAGTAGGCCTCCTGCTTGTTGGAACTTTTCCCATTAAAAATAATGCAAAAAATAGTTTTATTGTGCTCTTGAAACTCTTTCTATTCTTCGTGGTAGAGCACGTCCTCTATATTTAATTTATACCGTATTTTTAATACCATGTTTAATTTGATTATATCAAAACAAATTACAGATATAATATATATCAGAAAGAAACTATATAAAAGTCGAGAATAGTATTGAGATGTAGTTTATTGAAAACGAAAAAATTTGTAATATTACTTTAATACAATTGCTACGAACTTAAAGGAAAATTAGACCTCCATAACAATAATTAAGTAAAACTTTCTAAACATGTATTTTATTTGACATCACAACGTGGATAGGTAAAGGAGTAAAGTATCAGCTGAAGACATAGTTTCTTTAAAACTCAATATTGAAGGTAAAACTTTGGGACAAGTGCATACTGTTTAAAAATTTATCGGCTTTATGACTCAAGTCTAGGGTACAAATGTAAAATAACATTAAAAGTTGCTTCTTTCTATTAAAGCTTTTTTTTAAAGGGTGGAAACATCATTCCCAAACTCTCAATATTTCCTTCGTGGAGGCAAACACATTGTCGTATTTTGGTCTGTCAAGAGAGAATTACTATGAGTTATGATAGTTGAATGTCGTCGACTTTAAGGAACAAAACGCCTTAAACAACAGTTAAAAAGACTACTGTGCGTTTGTGTTTTATAACTGGACAAGGTGCTACGTCACACTTTAAGCCAACAGTCCTGGAACGCTTAATAATATAGAAACGAAAACAACTGCATCCTTGGCTTTAGGTTTTTTAAATTTAAAGTGGATAAACCTCTTTATCTATTTATAAAGTTTAAATGAGTGATTAATCACGATGTCGGCAGTGACAGCAATATTTGTCACGTTAATTGCCACTGCATAGTTGGATTGTGTGGTATTTTAAGATTATGTATAACTAAATGCTGTAATAAAGGCCAATTATAAAAAACTGTGACTCTGTTACTGTGCAAGGATCGTGCGGTGGAAATTTCTTTTCTCATTATTTCCTTACACTGTGTTTGGACTGTGAGCTATATGGTTAAGTGGATGCTTTTTTTATGTTACACACCAATAGTTATTTGGGAATATCTTAGAACAAAAAATATCTAGATTATTGGACTTATTGGTAACTATTTGGGCGGTCTTTTTTTGAATGTTTCTGTGTGAAATAAATGTCTCACAAAGAGATATAAATGAGGAAACAATCTACATCCATCCCATATAAAAGGCCTCCGATTGTCTAGGCTAACACCCTGCTATAAGGCGAGAAAACAGACTGTGATCATTCAATAGTGAAGAAGCAGGTACCAAATATTATGTTTTAACACGCTCCTCTTGAAATAGAGGTAGCAAGTCTACTGATTGATGGCTATTGCTCTTTAAAAGCAGCAAAACGATTGTCTGGTGAATGAATATAATGCTTTTGCCTGATTACTGATATGAAGTCATACTAGGATCATACAAGGAACGCAATGAGTACTTTAACCGAAAGAATGAACCCAATCGAATATAAGCTCTGGGAGGATATGCTTCACGCAGCTGGTAAGGCCCTTGTCTTGTTTGACCAAAATTAATTGGTGCGCAATATCAATTTATATTTACGTATATAAACGTAATGATATTTAATTCATATAAAAAAAATATTCAGTATTTCTATATTTATAAACGGAATTTACAGTTCCTATATACCTATTAAAATATGTACCTGAATCTGTTATGTACCTAAATGAAAATAGGTATAGTTATCTAAGTAGATACTACTAAGTACTACTACTTACTAAGTAGTAATATTCATATTACTTGGATTATTTTAGATATTATAAAATTATTCATTTAAACTACATCCTCATACGGAGATACGGTATTTAATGATTTAGTATGTTTTAAAGGACAAGCTTGGAAAACATTCTGATTTATTTTTCAATTTCATATAATTAGGGGAGAGTTGGTTATATCGTACTAGCATTTAAATCGTACCACCTCTAAATTTCCCATTTAAATAATATTTTTTTTTACATTGACAACGCCAAATCGTGGCCCTGTACCATCCCTCTTCACCCACTAGTTTAAATCGACGTGAGTTAACAACTGTGCACGTAATAAAAAAAACATTTTTTGTAGGAATTAATATAAATATTGTCGTACATTCGTAAGGAGATAACTCGTAATCAAGGTAAGCTATAGTTATTAAGTTTTTTTTATTATTCCACAATTGTATACTAGATTATTGGGGGTTTTTATTGCGTGTCTAAGTTTTGAGTTTATGCCGGATATTTGCTTTTGTTTTAGAAATGCCTTAGTTGGTTTAATCGTACCACTTGCAGTTGGTTAAATTGTACTGGTATGATTTACCCGACTACCAACCGCAAGTACCTATAGTACTACCGCAAGTACGTATAGTACTACCGCAAGTACGTATAGTAAGTACTACCCAAGGCCAAAAACAAAAGTTATAAGAGGAAACGATCTCATTCCATCACCAGTAGCGATGATTCAGGAGAGACACTTGTTGTAGAACTAGATGATGATGATGACAGCGATGATTATCTTGAAAATATACCTATGTCGAAACTGCAATTGTTCTTATGATAAGAAGGGTCCAAAAGTTGATTCGATTCAATGCGTTCGCTGTAAACGGTGGCTACATGAGACGTGTACTTCGAATTTTTGAAAACATTTGTCATGATTGTTTCCATTAAGAAATATGGACAATAATTATATTACAAATAACATTCTTGTTAACTGTTACTTTATTATTATAGTTTACTGTTTTTTTATTTGTCTCATTTTTATTAGTTATGTTGATTGACCTCATTATCATAGTATAATCATGTTATTTTACTGAGAAAGCTTATAGTTCCTTTATATAACCTAAAAGTTAAAAATTATGTTTCTATTACCTAAAAGATATAATAATGTTGTTTTATTACTTACCTAACAGTCAAAAATAAATAATTTGACTGAGAATTTTAATGTCTTTCATTCAGTGGTACGACTTAAACACCCATGGTACGATTTAAAGACTTAGTGGTACGATTAAAACGACGAGTCGGCTAAATCGTACCGATGGCAAGCCTCTATAAAAAAGCATTTTTAACAATGTTAGAATAATCGCAAGGATCTGTTCTCTTCTTCTTAGGAAGCTAAAATATGAAACTTTATTTTACATATGTATTAATTATTATAAGACGTGTTATAGTCGAAATATTTGAGTTAAAGTGAAAAGTGGTACGATATATCCGACTCTCCCCTATACTTGAATTTTACAATAATTTTTATGGATATAAAAAAGTTTAACTAAAGGCATAAAACTTTTCTGTCGGAATATTTCCATTCACCCGATATTAGTTTTTAATCATACATGTACATATTCCTTTTGATTTCTTGTATTACTGAATCTAAATTGCGTTTTTATAATTTGTCGCACTTACCAAACTGATTTAATTTCAAGAGTATTTTTTTTATGGCAATGTTCTATTGAATAGAATTTTTTAGCTAAAATTCAATATATGTTTAGAAACATACATACATACTTTTAAATATGAGAACATTTATATATGTGTGATAGTGCATATGCTTGTCAAAATCTGTGTCATGGCAGTCTTAGCTTTTATATGTATACAGAGTGACTGGTGAATTACTATCGATATTTGAGGACGTGATATTTGACGATCATATATGACAAAATAAAAATTAATATAACATAAATATTAATAAACTTCTAAGTAAAGTTAGCCAAAAGTTATGTAATTCATTACGCATCGTGTGAACACCCTACAGATTAGGTATACACACACATACACACAGACGCGTGCGAAGGCGTGGTGTTGTATCAGCACGCCGCCGCACGCGTCCA